GCATGTTCGTGTGTACATTGTGGCAGGATTATGCCCTGCCCACTTTGGAAAGTGATGGGTCTCTTGAGTGGTCACAGCTAGGTTTACGTAACTGGCACGTGTTTAGGGTGCAGGGAGCTGTGGGAAGAGGGGTATTTTTCAAGGCACTGGGTAGTTCTTGCATCAAAGAATTACACCCTAAATGCCCCTGCATACCCAGGAGAGGCTCTCACAGCTCAGTGATGTAAGATCCGACATCCTGAGCATGTGTCAGTGGTGTGCTCAGACCAAGCCATGATCATTGGCTCAGTGCAACGTGTCGAGGGACTAGGGATGGCACTGGAGCTGCCCACAAGTTCAGCCATTCATCCACACCGGTGCCACATCTGCCCCTCTGTACTTGGGCTTCCTTTGTTCCCAGGCAGCCCTGGTCACTGAGTTTCCTTGGACTGGCCCTGAAGTACAGGCAGTCTCTCTGCGAGCAGCAGCCATACTGCTGAAAGAGGTGACTGCAGCAGAGGGTTCAGAAGGGTTGATGTGAAGCCTCCATCCACCTGTGAGATGGGAGAGCTCTAGGGAAACTGGACCCAAGTGGGTTCAAAGGCAAAGAGGTGTTGAGCGTGTCTGTCACGACTCACGTGTTTGTCCAGAGTCAAGTCCCTGGCACCAGGACTTAACCATTTGCTGTCTCTAACTCCTAGCTGGCTCTGTGACGTTGGAATAGTGATTATGTCAGACGTGATTGTGACAGCGTGCCATTTCCCAGGGCTTCTGAAAGTTTAGATGTAGTTTGAAAGTGCAGGCTGCAGGGGGGTGTCTTTTTGGCAGGCAGGTCCATACTGTGCCCATGGCCAGCGGCTTGGCTAACCTGAGAAGTTACTCTCCCTCAACCACCCAACTCTCAAGATATGCCCTGTGTCTCCTCCTGTCTCCCCAGGCAATGGATCTGGAGGTCCCTGTGTTGGCCAGGAACATCCCTGGGAATGCCGCCCTGGTGAAGCACGGAGTCACTGGGCTGCTGTTCTCTGATCCCCAGGTAAAGCCATTGCCTTGCATCGATCAGCTCTGCACAGTTTCCATGCACGTTTGTGGAGAGTGGCTCTTGATTCTGTGTCTGCGGGAGCTCGGTGTCCCTGGCATGGTCAGGAGGGGCCCTGTGTGCAACGTGGCTTCTCCTGTTTCCACCAGAGCAGCTGTGGGGATGTGACTGGAGGGAATAAGGGAGGCTCAAGCAGTGGGCCCACTGGGTTCCATTTCTGGCTCAGCCACCACGCGGCTAGACTGGGCTTGTACTGGCCAGCTCACTTTCAGTGCTCCTGGTTTCTGTGCTACTAAGCTGGGCACTCTTCAGGCACCTTGTACTGGTGGAGCCCCATCCATGGCTTTCAGAAGGTGGCCGGGTGCCCTCACTTATAGTCCCTTGAAACAAAGGTAAATGCAGGCAGGATGCTTACATGCTTGCTCAAAAACACGTATGCAGGGTGCTTACATGTGTGATCATACACACGTATGCACCGGAAAACAAAGCCAAGCTGTGCAGCCAATGGAGGGCACAGTGGGTTATCCTGTGACTGCTGGGGTGCAGGCACGTCCCGCCACCCAGGAGGTGTGCGAGGGCTTTGCCCAGGTCAAGTACTACTGCTGGGTCCGCAAGTAAGCCCTGGGGGTCACCTGCCTGCCAACCCTGGGTTCCTGTTCAGGCCTAGGACTCTGGCCCCGTGGCCCAATCTCCAAGAACCACTTTCTCATTGGGACCAGTGAAACGGAGGACAACGCCTGCCTCTTAGAGTTGTCGCAGGGCCCAGGGAGGTGACACACGGGGCCTGGCGTGGGGTCAGAGCCTGGCAGGCTCAGGCATGGGGGGAAGGGAGGGATTTGCCGTCTGGGGGGAAATGGATGCAAGCTTCGTTCTTTACGTCTGTGCTTTTAAAAACCAGGTGCTGCTCCTGACTGTCAAAGCACATGCTAGTTTCAGAAAAATAGGAAGTTGTTCTAGAAGTGACAATAACTTAAGGATATTCGTTTTTCCAAGTACCTTGTTGCAGGGTCTGGTCCCAGATAGCTGTCCCTTTCTCTAACACCAGATCTTGTCCCCAGATCCCGCTTCTTGCCCCCAGCATGCAGGGTCACAGGCTCCAGCACAAACTGGCAACCAATGAGCTTCAGGGCTAAAGGACTGCAGGGCCAAGAGCCCTCTGGTGCCTAGCGGAGGGGACACCATAGCTGTGTTCGGGGTGGGAGACACAGCAGGTGGGGGGTTCTGGCCTGCCTGACAGGCATGAATGTGCTGGGCTCCTCCCTCTCAGCGGTAACAACTAGGGGCTGGTCATGGGTGGAGTGTGGCCTGCGCTCGCCTGCCCATGCCACAGACACAGGCTTGCTGCTTTTTACCGCAGCCCAGTTCTCCCGAAACCAGCAGAGGCCCAGCACTGCATGCTGGCAAACTGACCACCCCCATCTTCCAAAATAACAGTGCCCAGTTCCTCTCTAGTGCCACTTTAAACTCTCCTAAGTGGAAGCCGGGTGGAGCAGAAGCAGGAGGCAGTGGCCCTGGAGAGGCTGGGCCTTGTGAGGGCTGCTGGTGACCTTGTAAGTGCTTTGTATATATAATTATAAATACATATAATTTGTATAATATAAATAATAACATATACAGCCATACATGCTCTTTAGACTCTTGCTAAATCTAGAGTTACAGGTTCCGCTTTAGCTTTTATGCCTTGATCAAGAATATAAAGGAGACTCACCTCTAAGTGCAGGTCTAGAGGTCAGAGCAGGAGTTGGGAGGGACTGGGAGGGCCAGGGCCTGTGAGAGCCCATGGAGAGGAGCCCTGGGCAGCCTCTAGGAGCCAGAAGCAGCTCCCAGTCAACAGCCAGCAAGAGCAAGCTTGTCCATCCCACAGTCAGGAGCTGCACCCTGCCGACAGCCTGTGGGCTCTAGGGCCTGCTCCTCCAGGGATGGAGCCAACTCCTTGGTTTCAGTCCCGTGAGGCCAGGAGCTGAGGCTGGCTCAGCCACGGCTGCACCTTGACCTTCAGAAACCTCGAGGCCACAAGTGCGTGTCATGTGAAGCCCTCCTTGGCATCAGCTTGTCCTGCTGTGCTGGAGAAGGGGCCCAGGAGGCAGGCCTGGGAACAGCATGTGTCATGCCAGGGCAGCAGGCTACAAGCAAGGAAGAATGTGGTCCTGCCTATAGGGCTGGACGCCAAGAAAGGACGGTGACCGCGCAGGAACCCAGAAAGAGCTTCAAGGAAGAACACGGGCCTCCCTGGAGGTGAGGGAGATCACTGGGGGCGCTATGGGCCCCTGCTGGAGACAAACCACATATTTCCTTTCTCCTGAAGCCCCTCTGGACCCTTGCTTGCTCTAGGAACTGCCGGAGATCTGAGTGTGAGCTGTGTGGGAAGGGGAGTCGACTACCTAAAGCTGAAAGGTGCAGATGGAGGGTGTTCCTGCCTGGGGTGCCCTTAGGTGTCCTGCTGCCCTTGGAGAATGTCCACACGTTTGGCAGCGGTCAGCAAGCTGCCCTGGGCAGCCCTGCCTGCCACTCTGCCCTCCAGGGCCTCCCCTACTCTCCCTTCTGCAGCCCCCAGGGCTCCTTCTGCACCTGCACCATGGGGGAAGGTGCCCCTTCAGGGTGTTCTGGGTCTGCCTCTCCAGGCCGGCACCAGCGCAGGACCTGGCACACAGTGTGTTAACAGTGACCTGTTCCAGCCAGAACCCAAGAGCCCCCCTGGCTGGCAGCTATTGGCATGAAGATAAAGGGAATCAGGATGGAGGGAAGTGGGCTTTGGGCGCTCCAGAGAAACTAAAAAAATTTTAAAACAATTGATGGTTAGACAAAATCAAGTGTGGCAAGAATAGAATGGTCTCTATTTTACACCCCTCACCCCTGGAAAACTTCAGTATGAGCTAAGCCTTCCAAACCTATTCAACATTGATTTTCCGTTACTGCAACAATCCTGTGATTTTGCCTTTTAAAAGAAAAGAGTTGCGCTATTTCCCTGTGTTTTTTTTTTTAAATAGCTTCAAAATTAAAATCCATTTGACATTTAATAGAAACTGTGAATCCATATTCTCTGGGCCAGAACCTAGATGGGTAGCTCAAGCTTATTTTACAGGGATATTCTGTTTGTGTTTTAGACAAGAATAGAAAAACTGGGGATAGTCATGAAGCAGAGATTGACGTTCATGGAGTACGCGCCTGCCGCGTCCCAGCCACTGTCCTTACTGCTTTCCGTGATGTGAGATTTTTAGTAGAGATAATTTCTTTTTCCTTTAAACAGTAATGGCGTTGACAGTCAGTGGCTCAGTGTTTGGAAAATGTGAGGCATGTTGGACAGATAGCCTCAAACTCTCCACCAGGCTGAGCCGGCCTCAGGTCTGGAGTTTCCTGCTTGAGATCTGAATGATCCCTGAAGCCCTTTTTATTCTGTGCTCGTCCCCTCGTCTGGAAGATGGAGACCATGACCTGTCTTGAAGGGATAACAGGAAACACATGCTGTAGAGGCTCATCCTTTCCTTGAGGGGAACCACAGGGGCCAGAGGCCATCTTCTGCAGCACACTTGAGCCTGGTGCTGAGCAGCAGGGGACATGGCCAGCTTGTGCTCAGTGCAGTCAGAACATCTAGGCTGTGTTCTATGAGAGGCAGGTGCCAGCCCGAGAATGTCCCATGTCACGTTCAAATCACAGTGTCCCTGGGGGACTGGGTGGTGGTCAGCCAACATTACATAACATAGGACTTCCTTCTTGCGTCTGTTAACTCTTAAGCTAACATGTAATTCTCAGAAGTTAAATGCTGCGCTGATAAAGAGGCACCCTTCCAGTGCCTGGACCTGATGGGACCTCATCAGGGTAAAACCCAGGTGTGATGGTCTCCAAGATATGGATGGCATTTCCACTGAAACCCAAAAAGAAGCTCCAGACAACGTGGCCCACGCTGGAAGTTAATCCAAAACGCGTTTGCATGGATTTGCAAGTCCGATGGCCATATTGCTTCTTGGGTAAACCCAGCAAGCTCGAGAGTGCAAAGGACAGCTGAACTTGACCCATGGGTGGGGAGCCTGCCTGGAGTGTGCAATCAGGTGCTGGGCCAGTGGCATGAGTGGTCCGTCCAGTGGACAAGAGGGCAGCCAAGGACACCAGTCACGTTTTTATAGTAGCCATATTTAAGAAAAAAAGAAATAGAAGAATTCTATTTTCGTAATACACTTGATTTAACTCAGCCTATTTGAACTTGCATCATCTCAGCTAGAAGTGACATCAACACTATTAGAACCCACATTCTTTGTTCCCACTAAGCCTCTGCAGTGCTGTGCATGCTTGGCACTCCAGCACAGCTCAATTTGGAGATTAGGTTCTTATTGAAAACTTGGTCTGCATCTAGCTCGGGAGGATCTATGCCTAAAAAATAGATTTGCCTCTCCAGGTTGTTCCAAATGCATAAAATTTTTGAGTAACTGAATAAGTACAGGTTTAAAATTTTAAATCTGTTAAAAATAATGAGGAAGAGTGCCCTTTCTCAGGCACACAGGCCACCTCCCAGGTGTTCAGAAGCCCTGGCTGGTGATGAGCGGCAGCTGCAGTGTCGCACAGAGGGGCTCCAGGGCCGTCTGGGCAGGGGCCGCAGCTGGCCTTCCTGTGTGCTGGCCCCTTGCCAGCATGCTGCCTTGTCTTCACGACAGCCAGAGAGGGCAAGTCCCGAGCCCTGGGCCACTGTCTTAGAGCCGCCCGCCCAGCCCAATCCCCAGGAGTTTGATTCCAGAGCTGCACTCGGTCACCTGGAGCAGCCTACTGTCCCCACCCTGCCTGCCCTCTGTGGCTCGGCCTCAGCCTCTCCCTTTCCTTCTGCCTCTTCCTGAGTCCATTCCTCTGTCTCTTCCTCAGTTTCTCTGTATCGCTCTGCCTCCTCCTTCCCCTACCCTCCACTTCTCTCTCTGTCTCTCTCTCCCGTGTTCTCCACCTCCCTCCTCCTCCCCTCTCCTTTAGGTAGGAGAGGTGGCACTTTTCCACCCAAGAGTCCTCAAAGCGGATCC